CAAACTGAGGGTTCTAGAGGGGAGGGGGGTGGGGGGAGGGGCTAGCCTGATGATGGGTATTAAAGAGGGCACGTTCTGCGTGGAGCACCGGGTTTTATGCACAAACAATGAATCATGGAACACTACATCAAAAACTAATGATGTAATGTATGGTGATTAACATAACAATAAAAATGTGCAAAGGAAAAAAAATTATGACCTCACTGTTTAATAATATGATGTGACTATGATTTACTAGTTTGAACCCAAGTGAGCCACAAACCTAAGTGAATAAAGTTTACTACAGGTACAAATGAAGGGGGAAATCAGAGATTCAATGAATTAATTGTTGGATCCTGTATGCACCAGAAACCCAGGGAAATAAAGGAAATGAAAGGTAATTTTAAGTGCAATTGAATTTTCAAACTCCAAAAATGAAGAACAAGATGTTAAAGATAGCTAGTGGAAAGTGAACTGGGTTTTGAAAGATGAACAGGATCAATTAGTATGAAGAAAACAGAGGGGAGGGAATAAGTGTAGTATGTAGGCCAGGAAGAAGAGGAACCAATTTTACAGAAGGAAAACTAATCTAGATGTCATTTCTTTGATTCCTTTTGTTAAAAACTGTAGCCCACTTTAAAATGCCTTTTATTTCCATGTTCAGTCAGTCTGCAATTCAAACTAGCTTGAGGTAATTAAGGGTAGAGGAGATCAACAGGCAGACTTTATTTGTATGGTAGTAAAGACAGAAATGTGGATGAGTAATCAAAGAAATTTTTTTAATAATCTCTACACCCAACGTGGGGCTCAAACTTACTACCCTGAGATCAAGAATCCCATGCTCCACCAACTGAGTCAGCCAGGCACCCCTAAAGAATCTTTTGCTGCATAAACAGTCCAGAAAGGCCAAAATAAATGCCATATCCAAGTATGTCAGTCATTAAAAATGGGGAAACTAAGAGGAAGCTGGGGGGTAGGGAGAGAGACGAGATCTCAAAAACTGATAAATGTTTATTTTACTTTCAGTCCAATATTATTTTATATGATCTTAATAAGATAATCTTATTTATATATTTTGGGAAGCACACATCTTTGAGAATCTGGCAATTAGGAAGATAAGTTTTTTGCTGTACACACCAATGTGGGGAACAAAGGCAAAAGGAAATGTAGACAAAATTAAATCTCCTTATAACCAACAGCCCATTGACAAATACTTGAGATAGGCAGATTATAACATTCTTCTGGGATCTTGAGTCTTCTTTAACATATGAAAGTCTTTTTGGAACCTCTCTTAATCTTTAGGTCCCCTAACCCCAAGGTATATAATCACTTGCTCCTCATAATCCTGGGGCAGTGGGAAGCAGCAGGTAGCTGCTCAGGGAGCTCTTTCTGCCCATGGGGCCTGTCCCCACGGTTTAATAAAATCACCATTTTGCATGGAAGACCTCTCAAGCATTCTTTCTTGGCCATGGATTCCAGAACCCATCACCAACAACAACATTCAAGAACTACATCAACACCATTGTTCTACTCTAAAATCACCTTGGAACTGTTAAGTAACTTTCATATATTTAGATTATTTAACATCTGATCACTGAATCCGTGCTTCATTAACCCAGGTAACACCAAATAGAAGGTTGAGGCTTTGTTGTTGTTGTATTCTTGGTTTTTGTACATTTCTATTCTAATTAAAATTACATCAGTTATACATTTAAGATTTTCCCAGCTCCCACTGTCCCTGGAAGTTCAGAGTATTTTTGATGTACCTGTCATGCTTTAGGCTGATGTTCTATTATTTTGTTTTACTCAAAGAACTCAAAGAACAAAAGTGGGTAATTCCTATAAAGACTGTCTTTGAAAACTCTAAGGTGTCGTTTTAGTTGTCTTGTTTCCCTCTGGCCATGAGATAAACTGTTGCTAAATGCGGAGTCGTGTTTTCCTGCTCTACGTGCAAGAATAATAAATAGGGGGAAAAAAGTAGCGCTTTATTAATCACTAATTTTTAAGAACCAATTACGTTTTTCAGAATTAGAATCAACAGAGAACACTTTAGGTTCAACATGTTGTAAACACAGATGCTCACTTAAGGATAAATCATTATATTGTCATAATTGAATTGAAAATCGGTATTTCTGTAAATCATTTCACATTTGCGAAAGTACAGCTCAAACGAAATGAACGTTTAATAAAAGGCCGGGACTAGGGTAGGTGAGAGAGGCGCCGAGGGCAAATATTTAAGGAGACAAGACTACGTCCTTGAGAGCACCTCCCTCGCCCCACCTACGGCCTGGCCCTCCATTAATAAATGTAATAAGGAGTCCGAAGGGCATATGGGGTCTGCACGGTCTTTCCCAGTGTCAGATGCAGTTAAGCCAGTGACTCCATCCAACCTAGTAGCGGTTACAAAGTGGGCATTTGTTCGACAGAAATTGCCAAGTCAAATATTGTCCTATCAAATTCAGTTCTGACGTGACAGGTGTTGCCTCCGGAGGGGAGCCACCAAAACAAAACAAACACCAATCCATCAGCTCCGGGAAATGCCGCGCCCTGGCTGGCAATGGGCAACCCGTAAGTTCCGAAGCTATGTAGGTAAAATTCCGAAGCTATGTAGGTAAAGAGACCTTCCCTTTAACAGAGGGGCACCCGCTTCTCTTTGGGAAACTCAACGACCCAACAGGCGCAGGAAACCCGTTAAGTGTCACCAGCGGAAACTAGAACTCCGCCCCAAACAATAACCACCTGCGCCGCCAGCCGCAAGGGTTCCTGGGAAAGGGCGTTGCGCCTTCGCCAGTCGCCGGTATCGGGAGGCGCGAGCCGAGTCCTCAGACGGCCTGTATCCGTGCTCCGTCGATGGGCAGCCACAGTGAGGACTCGACCCTGCAAGTGAAAGGGAAGGCCGTCGCCCCCGAAGACCTAAAGAGCCGCTGTTCTGACCCGAGTTGTTGTCACTCCGAGCAGGCAGGCAGATCCGGGGACAGCCCGCGCGCTCCAGGACCCCGGCGGCGGCGGCGGCGCGGCGCGGCGCGGCGGGAAGGGGAAAGTTTCAAAGCCGAGGTGGGGACTTGCCTACCGCCGCTCGGGCGAAATGAAGCTGCACTGCGAGGTCGAGGTAGTCAGTCGACATTTGCCGGCTCTGGGAATGAGGAACCGGGGTAAGGGTGTCCGGGCGGTGTTGAGCCTCTGTCAGCAGACGCCCAGGAGTCAGCCTCGGGCTGGGGCTCGGGGCGATCGAGGCGGCCCGCACCCCACCTGCCTGCTCATCTCCACCCTGAAGGACAAGCGCGGGACCCGCTATGAGGTGCGTGGACCGAACCGGCCTTGCCTCGGGAGTTGGCCACGAGCTCTTCCCCTTCGGGTCTCGCTTGCTTGCCCGTTCCGGAGGCTGGAGCCTGTCCTGGGGGCGGATACCTGAGCCCCACCACCACTCCGAGTTCTGGGCGTCTCCCTGTGGACCCGAAAGGAAAGCTTTTGAAAAGGCACCTCCTTCTTATTTTTCTCTCCCATTTTTTTGGCTTTAAATTGACACCCTTTCTATTTAGTAGTAGATGGTAACCTTGCTCTTTTAAAGCCTCTGGAAACTCGGCCTGCGTGAAACTAAACTTTAAATGAAACAGCATTCCAGTTTGGGGGACCAGTAAAATCATTGCACTTTCGTTCAGTAAGTTTTTTTCTCCCACAGTATTTTCGCTAGCCTTTTTTTTTTTTTTTAACGCTTTAAGTTCTGATGAGTAGTATCCAAGGTCGTTATCCAGATTAGTACAGTAGTAAAGCTGTAAAGCTTTGTGTTGCATCTTGATATTTTTATTAATGTTACCGGTTACTGCATCTCTCTCTCTCTCTTTTTCTTTTTTCTCCTTAAATGTTTAATTTCCTAAGACTTGATTTTCTAGGGCTAGGGCTTTTTCTCATTTGCATAGCAATAGAGTTAAACTCTCTAAAAACAGTTGAAAGTTGGAATAAAATTTTCAAAACACAAGTTTTATAAAATTCATTTTTCCTCATTTTACAAGGCACTATGTTATTTTGTCAAAATGACTGGAATACCCTTGTGTCTATTATAAATAAAGTTGAGGGGGCAACTCATCTCCCACCCTTGCATTGGACTCTTGTCTGGATTTTATACAGTTTCTGGGATTATTTCCCTCATAGTATTGTACTCCACAGTGAATACTCTTAGCTGACGGAAGGGTTTATTACATCTCATTCAGAGACTCTTAGTAATTGATATAGAAGTTGAAAGTGTAAGTAATTTCTCCCTCTTCATGGAATCAACTCATACAATTTTTCGCCTTGAAAAGACTTAAGTAATCACCCAACATTTTATAGGTTAGAAAACTGTAAGGTGACAGAAGCCAACTCATAACAAGAATTGTCTCCTCTTCACCATTGTCTTCCCCAAAACCTCTTTCATGCCCAGCTCAGCTATTGTCTATTTTTAAAAAGTCTGTAATGATCTCTTCCTTAAAACTTAAGGTGCACTAATAATTGTAGGTGGTAATCCTAACCAAAAGTTTATTGTGAACTGCAAGTTAAAGGTTTACTGTGTGCAAGATACAGTGCTAGATGCTGTGGGAGATAAACTTGATTTAGTCACTATCCTTCCAAGACTAGAAAGGAAGAAATAGAAACCAGTGCTTACAATACAAGGTGGGCTATGATAAATGCTATAATAAAGGTAGAAGTAGAATAGTATAGTATCAAAAAGCAAAGTGAATTTGATTACAGAGGCTTGAAAAAGTTGGGTTTGTTTTTTTTTTAAAGATTTTATTTATTTATTAGAGAGCGAGCGAGAGAGAAACAGCATGAGAGGGGAGAGAGTCAGAGGGAGAAGCAGGCTCTGCACTGAGCTGGGAGCCTGATGCGGGACTCGATCCCAGGACTCCGGGATCATGACCTGAGCCAAAGGCAGTTGCTTAACCAACTGAGCCACCCAGGCGCCCTGGGTTTTTTTTTTTAAGATTTTATTTATTTTTATTAGCACGAGCAGGGCAGACGGAGAGGGACAAGCAGTCTCCCTGCTGAGCAGGGGGCCCGATGCGGGACTCGAACCCAGGATCCTGGGATCATGACCAGAGCTGAAAGCAGACACTTAACCGACTAAGCCACCCAGGTACCCAAGAAAAGTTTTGTAGAAGAGATGGTGGCACAGGGCTTGGGACATAGTAGGTGCTCAGTAAACATTTGTGGGATGAATTAAAGTGGTGTTGGTCTTGGGTCCTGAAGACTAGGTATTAGTGCTAAGTGTGGAAGTACCTTGGGGATCTTTCTTACACCAACTTTTCCATTCCATGGTTCACCTACTGCCCATCTCACTGTGATTTCCAAATCTGTATCTTTAGCTAGTCCTCTCCCTTAATTTCCAACTTGAATCTCCTATCAATTGGAAATCTTCACTTAGATGTGTTGTAGCATTTCAAACTAAGATATCTAAAAATTAATTTTCTTTGCCACCCCTAAATTTGGTTTTCTGGTGGTGTTCTGCAACTCATTAAATAGTGCTCTGCTCTTGGGGTGCCTGGGTGGCACAGTTGGTTGAGCATATGCCTTTGGCTCAGGTCATGATCCCGGGGTCCTGGGATCAAGCCCTGAGTCAGGCTCCGAGGGGAGTCTGCTTCTCCCTCTCCTTCTGCCCCTCCCCACCTCGGTCCCTCTCTCAAATAGATAAATAAAATCTTAAAAAAAAAAAAACAGTGCTCTGTTCTATCCAGAAACCTTACAGCTTTTGCATTCCCATATCTAATAAAATATTGAATCCTTTCAATTCTACCTCCTAGGTATCTTTCAGATTTTCATACCTCCTTCCGTCCCAATGCAGTCTAAACTACCATTACCCGTTGCTTGGCTTGTCTCTTAAAAGATAATCCTATCTCCCCTCCCCCAAAGTTCATTCTTACACTGTTTTTTATTGTTTTTTTTTTTTAAGATTTTATTTATTTACTTGACAGAAGGAGGGAAGCAGGCACGCAGGGCTTGATCCCAGGACCCTGAGATCAAGACCCGAGCCAAAGGCAGACACCCAACCAACTAAGCCACCCAGGCGCCCCTTACACTGTGTTTAAAGGGAACTTAGCAAAAGGAAGATCTATTCCCAGGTTCAAGTCACTCAGTGGATATCATTTGCAGAAGAAAATCCAAAATTCTTTTTTTTTTAAGATTTTATTTATTTATTTGAGAGAGAGTATGCAGGGGGGAGGGTCAGAGGGAGAAGCAGACTCCCTGCTGAGCAGGAACCCCCAATGCGGGACTCAGTCCAGGGAGTCCAGGATCATGACCTGAGCCAAAGGCAGTCGCTCAACCAACTGAGCCACACAGGCGCCCCAAAATTCTTGACATGGTTTACAAAATCTTCCACCATTCAGCCTCTGCCTGTCCAGGTTCACTTGCCTCTTCACTGAATCCTTTAGCTATACTGAACTTTCAGCTCCTCACAGCTGCCGAACTCTCTTGCCTTCAAGGCTTTGCATACATTTTTCCTTATCGGTGTGCTATTCCCTCTCTTTCCCCAGTATCTTCACTTGCCCAACATCTCCTGATCCTTCAGTTCTCACCTTTAAGGTCACCTTGCTTTCCCTAGACCAGGTAAGATTCCTTTGCTATGTAAGGTCTTAGAGCAATTTGTACTTCCCTTATCTTAGTATTTGTTGCTTGTAATTACTTATTTAATAATTGTCTCTCATCAGACTGACAACTTTATAAACTTTATAAATGTAATTACCATGTTGGTTTTATTCACTACTATTGTTTCAAGCCCCCTGTCATAGTACCTGATACAGAGTGGCTTCTTAGTAAATAGCTGTTGAAGCCTAAAGCCGAAGCAACATTTGTCATTAAAAGTTTTTGAGCACCTGTTATGTGTCGGTCACTGTTTTGGTTCTGTGGATACAGTAGTGAACAAAGGAAACAAGATTCCTGCTTTCATGGAGTTTATAATCTTGTGGGAGGTGTGTCCACTCGAGACTAACGGACTGAAGTTAAGAAGGCAAGTAACTACTATTGGCAGCTCCTACTACGGTCACATAGTTGGAATGGGAGAAGAGGAGCATTCTCCCAAACGGGATTCACAGGAAAGGGTTACTGGGCTGATAAAACAGTAATATCTACCAGAAGCTAGATAAGAAATGTAGCTACCCAAATGCTAAAAAAAACCCAAAAAAACCAATGAAATTAAAACTAAAACTTAAAACCACAAAACACCCAGACTTGATTAAAAGCCTGGCAAAGTGACTGGCACTTTCTAGTTGTAATAAATATTGTTGAATAACAATATCTGATTTGTCCTTTTTTTCTCATTGGTGTTAAACAGCTAAAGGAGAACATTGAGCAATTCTTCACCAAATTTATGGATGAGGGGAAAGCTACTGTTCGGTTAAAGGAGCCTCCTGTGGATATCTGTCTAAGTAAGGTATGGTATGAAAAACATTAATGGTTAGGTTGGTTGGCTGTATTTTCTTTATAGAAGAGGCTATTTGAGCGTCCTGATATCCCACTTAGCTGAAGAGGGATGGACACTTGGCAGATGTGTTTGAAGAAGCAATGGCAGCTTCTCTGGCATGGTGGCCCCGCTCTGAAAGTGCGGAGAGCCTAGTAAGGCTATGCAGGATGGGGAAGAAGGAGAATGACTTATTTCTGTGCTCCAGAGAGCCTTAGAGTGTTTTTAGAGGGGAACTTTATAAGGCCAGTGGCACAAGTCTACATTTTGCCAACATAATCAGGTTGCAAATCTAAATTTGGTGTAAAAAAAGATAAAATGCAATTAGGACAATTTTGGGATATCTTATTTATTATCATTTCAGAAAATACTTAAACCATTAAATTTCTTTTTTAAAGATTTATTTATTTTAGAGTGAGAGAGCACGAGCAGGAGGGGCAGAGAGAGAGGAAGAGAGAATCTCAGGCTCCAAGCTGAGTTCACAGCCCCATGTGGGGCTTGATCTCGTGACCCTGAGATCACGACCTGAGCCAAAATCAAGAGTCGGATGCTTAACATACTGAAGCCACCCAGGCACCCCTAAAGATTTTATCTTTAAATAATCTCTACACCCAATGTGAGGCTCGAACCCACAACCCCAAGGTCAAGAGCTGCAGACTTCACCAAATGAGCCAGCCAGGTGCCCCGTCTCAGTTCATCTTAAAGCCGTCTTTTTTTTTTTTTTTTTTTTTTTTTAGTTTTTTTTTTTTTTTTTGACAGAGAGAGAGCACAAGTAGGGGGAGCGGCAGGCAGAGGGAGAAGCAGGCTCCCCGCCGAGCAGGGAGCCTGATGCGGGGCTCGATCCCAGAACCCTGGGACCATGACCTGAGCCGAAGGCAGCAGCTTAAGAACTGAGCCACCCAGGTGCCCCAAACCCAAGTTTTAAGTGGAATCTTTTCATGCTTTCTCATCTTATTTTATACTCTTTTGGTTCCCCTTTGAATGGTTTTATTTAGAGTGTGTCTTTCAACATAATCTTTTTTCAAAAATTGTTTTTATATCTATATTGAATTTTAGTCAAAATAAAATACTAAAAAATTATTTTTACAGCCATTTCAAGAAATGATTGCACCATTTTGCATGTATAACTTTACAGAATTTGTTATAGGATGCATTAGCATGCATGTATTATCTAAAATGGAATTTATAATTGTATGACTTATTTTTATTTATTCAGGCCAATTCCAGCAGTTTAAAGAGTTTCCTTTCAGCTGTGAGACTGGCTCATAGAGGTTGTGATATTGAAGTACCACTTTCAACCTTCACACCAGTGAAGACTTCAGAATTTGAAAAATTTAAAACTAAAATGGTTATCACATCCAAAAAGGACTATCCTCTAAGCAAGAACTTCCCATATTCTCTGGAACATCTTCAGACCTCTTATTGTGGGCTTGTCCGATTTGATACGCGTATGCTTTGCTTAAGAAACCTACGGAAATTAGACTTGAGTCACAACCATATAAAAAAGCTTCCTGCTACAGTTGGAGACCTCATCCATCTTCAAGAACTTAACCTGAATGACAATCACTTGGAGTCATTTAGTGTAGCCTTGTGTCAGTCTACACTCCAGACGTCACTTCGGAGTTTGGATCTCAGCAAGAACAAAATCAAGGCACTCCCTGTGCAGTTTTGCCAGCTCCGAGAACTTACAGATTTGAAACTTGATGATAATGAATTGATTCGATTTCCTTTCAAGATGGGACAGTTGACAAAACTGCGTTTTTTGTCAGCAGCTCGAAATAAGCTTCCCTTTTTGCCTAGTGAATTTAAAAATTTATCCCTTGAGTACTTGGATCTTTTTGGAAATACTTTTGAACAACCAGAAGTCCTTCCACTTATAATGCTTCAAACGCCATTAACTTTATTGGAATCCTCTGCACAAGCCGTATTATGTAATAGGTAAGACTTTTAATAGTCATAAAATGTATCTTTGTTAGCTTCTAGTACTCTCATTATCCTCATTGTAATCGTCACAGTCTTTAACGTAGTTTACAATGCTGTGCACAAACTGACCCCTTGCTCCAGTGATCTTGGTGCTCCTTACCTCTGCTTGGAATGCTTTTCTTCCAGAAGGTTCCGTAGCTCACTTTCTTACTTCATCCAGTTCTCTTCCCCAGTGGCACCCAGAAAGGCCTTTTCTGACTCTGTTTAGTTTGATCCCCCACCCCCTTACATTGCTTGACTTTTTTGTCATAGGGTTTATTACCTGGCATTACATCTTTTTTAACAATTGTTTTCCTGTCAGTTTTCCCCACTAGAATGTAAGATCCATGAGGGCATGGACTTTGTCTTATTACCCACTGTTTCCCCAGGGTCTAAAATGTGATATTCCCCTGTTCTTACCATATACTAGGCATTTACTTAATACTTGAATGAATGAATGAATGGCAATTGTTTCTCAAAGTGTGGTACCCTGACCAACAGTATCAGAATCACCTAGGAACTTGTTAGAGATGCAAGGTTTTCAACTCCACTACAGACCTATTGAATCAGAAATTCTGAGGGTGGGTCCAGCCCTCTGTGTTTTAATCAGTGCTTCCAGACAGTATTGATGCACTCTAAAGTTTGAGAACTACAGTCTGGCATAGCCGTCAAGTGTGGTCTTTGGAGTCAGACTTGAGTTTGATTCCTGGCTTCACCCCTTAGTATGGCTTTAGCAAGTTTTTTAACCTCTTTGATTCAGTTTTCTCATCTGTGAGATAGGAACAATAATACCCACGTAACATAATTGTGAAGATAAAGGAGCTAATGTAATGCCAAAGTTTTTGGCATATAGTAGGCCTCAATAGCTGTTGGTTTTCTTCCCCTTGTCTTTGAACACTAACCGCTTGGTTTCATGAGACACCAAACTCTAATTATTCATTTGGTTCATGCTTCTTTCATATAGGAGACTAAGATGTAGACCAAATTATTATCAAGTGCCTATAAAATAATAGGAAGACTACATTTCAAAGACAGGATTGGGAAAAAGATCTAAAAAAAAAACAAAACAGACATTATGGGCCTAGAAAAGTATACAGAATTTTGCATACAGCTTTATAATGCTCATGGACTCTGAAATCAATCCAATCCTCCCTCCTCACCATTTTTATTTAAGAGCTCTCAGTTTAAAGTGGTGATTCTCAAACTTTAGTTCACATTTGGAGTCACCTGAGCAGCTTTTAAAAATTCTGATGATTAGGGGCACGTGGCTGGCTCAGGACTGACATCCAACATAGAAAAGTGGAAAGAAAAAATAGGTAATCAAAATATATAATAGAGAAGGTAGAAAAATAATTTGTTAGTGCTGAATGATTTAGCATTGTAGTATTTACATTGTTTTTAAACTTGACTTCTCCTGATATAGGTTCTTTTAATGTGACCTTAACTTTTACTAACGTATAATTTTGCATGTTTTCAGCCCACTTGTTAGAATACAGATCCAAAGCTATGAGAAATTGCCCTAACTACTGGTTACAAAGTTATGGTCTATTAGAAAAATATGTGGGAATTTAAATTATGTTAAGATAGAAAATACAGTTTTTAACTGTTACCAGTTTCCTTAGGCTATAGCCAACAGCCTGAAAGAGATTAACATAAACATGTGGTAGACACTTCCTAGCACAGTTGTTTTTTTTTAAAGATTTTATTTATTTGTCAGAGACAGAGAGAAAGCACACAAACAGGGGGAGCAGCAGGCAGAGGAAGAGGGAGAGGGGTAAGCAGCCTGCCCGCTGAGCAAGGAGCCCTGTGTGGGACTCAAAGCCAGGACCCTGAGCCGAAGGCAGAAGCTTAACTGACTGAGCCACCCAGGTGCCCCCCCAGCACAGTTTTTAAAAAAATTGTTATTTATACAAGCAACAAATTAGTACATGTGGAAAAAAAATGAATTGCAGACAAGGCTGGTCCCTAATCCCTTATGAAAAGGAAACTTATTTTTTATTTGACATGTATCTTCTCAGACTTGTTCTAAAAGGGCTGCTGAACCCCGGTTTAAATTATGAGTAGGTTTTATTTATTTGTTGAAAAAGATCTGAACACCTATTATGTGCCAGCCTGGGCTAGGGACTAGAGAACAAAGAATAGACTCTGGGAGACAAAGTGACTTGGGGCATGGTTGAGTTTGGGGGAAGGAGTTGGACAGTGGGCAGGCCAACCTCAAGAGACCATCTTACAGTGGCTCATAGATAAGGGTAAAGAGTTTGACTTGATTTTAATTGCATTGGGCACCATTGGAAGTTTTAAGTAGGAGGGTGAGTGATTTAAGCAAGGTAAGATCAGCCTTACTTGCTCAGCTAGTAAAGTAAAACAAATACCCCAAACAATATGTGTTTTAAATCTGTTTCACAGGGCGCCTGGGTGGCTCAGTTGGTTAAGCGACTGCCTTTGGCTCAGGTCAGGATCGAGTCCCGCATCGGGCTCCCTGCTTGGTGAGGAGCCTCTAACCCTCCCACCTCTCATGTACTCTCTCTCTCTCTCTCATTCTCACTTTCTCAAAATAAATAAATAAATCGTTAAGAAATAAATAAATAACTAAATCTGTTTCACAGTTTAAAAGTCCCTTTTGCAACAGTGGATGCCTAGGAGAGTATTTGGATTTATTTACATAAATATTTCTTCACAGATAGAAGTCAGTAATTTTCCCATTACCATTATGAGAATTGTATAACAAAACTGTACCTTTAAACGATCATGTTATACTGGTCATACAGTGTAGATCCATAATGGACTCTTTTCATTCTGTTCCATGGGTTTTGCTATTAAGTGACAGTGCTGAAAGATACTTTATGGACTAGTATAGCTCCTCTTTGGTTTACAGTATGTCATATGGTGTTTTTAGTATATTTTCCCCATTCTTAACTGGAAGAGAGGACAATATACTGAGTCACTTAATAAGAGTAATCTTATTTTTCCATGGTTATAATTCAGTGTCCAGTAATTCATGACCTAACACATGAAGTTCTGAATCTAGTAACGTATTTAAAAATATTTTTTGAACTTTTTTTTTCAATAGGATTCCATATGGCTCTCATATCATTCCTTTTCATCTTTGCCAAGATTTGGATACTGCAAAAACCTGTGTTTGTGGAAGATTCTGTCTAAACTCTTTTATTCAGGGAACTACTACCATGAATCTACACTCTGTGGCTCACACTGTGGTCTTAGTAGATAATATGGGCGGTACTGAAGCACCTGTTATCTCTTACTTCTGTTCTCTAGCCTGTTATGTAAATTCTTGTGATTTGTTAAAGTAATAGGTGATACCACAAAAAGAAATTCCACTTAGTTACAGATCAGTTTGGGTTTCATTTATGGTTTAACTGTGTCAAACTGGAGAAAGGGAAGCCTTTCATATACTTCAGGGGAAGAAGGTGTTACTCTAACATTTTCAATCATTTGACCGTAAAACCTTAATTTCATTAAAACCTATTTAATTTTATTGTGAGGAAACTTTTATCAGTTTATTGCACTTGTGTTGATTTTAGCCTAGTGTTTCCAGAATGGGTTGTGGGATTATCTTTTAATGTTAAACAGATACTGATCCCTATCACTCCACTCATAGAATTTTCTTTTCAATTTTCTTCTTGAATTTCAGTTAAAGAAATTGAATTCCTGTATGTAGAAAATATATCCTGGAGGACTAAGTCTAAATTTTAGTGAAAACTTGTTTGGTATGAAACTACATAAGCATACCACTTTTTGTGTTTTTCAGGTATATTATTCTACATATGGAATTCTATATTCAAGCATAAAGTTGGAATTGCTTTGGGATAAACAGACTTCAGCTTTTATAAGTTTTATGTTACATCTTTGTTGTGATTTCTAAGTTTTTTAACTTTCAGAGTTAGAACAAGGTTTTAGCGTTGGGTAGGAGGTATAGAAATTTGCTACTTTGTACTGACTACATTCTGTATTTGAAGGTTGTTCTTTTTTCTGTTTATTATTTTAGTCACTTAATATTTTTATGTTTTTAATTTAAAAAGTGGTAATACACCAGCTATAGTATGATGAGGATTTGAACTAGGGCAAAGGAATGGAAAATGAAGCTGCTTGAAAGAATTGTGGAAAATGGAATCAGTAGAACTGCTCCATTCTGTTCATTCCTATGGTCCTTATTCAGATCAGCCTCTTTTTTAGATCATTGCAATAGCCTCATAACTGGTTTCTGGGAACAAAGGAGGTGAAAGAGTCAAAGTTAATTGGAGAAAACCCTCTTAGCATATCATTGCTGTTTTGGGCCTGGAGTTACAGGTAGTCTGTGTGAGACTATTTCTTAAGGTTTAGGGTAACTAACTACTTCCTCTGTCCTAAAATATTTATTTGGAGCATTTTATTCTTTTTTGAAATTACAAGTATTCCTGAGTAAATACTGTTCTGTTAGAAGATTTTTTTTAAAACTTTATGTATATGATCTCCAAAACATAGTTTCTTCTCAGAGTGGATTCTTTCGTCCAGAGTAATTCTTGGGTGACCTTAAATTTGTATTTCTTGTGGTCAGTTAAGTTCTTCCCTTAAAAGATTTCTATATAATTTTTAGTTTTTCATTAAAAAAATCATACATAATGCAAAAATGACTTAAATAAAAAGAGCTGCCATTTAGCTGCATCTTTGTTCCAGGTATTATACATACAGTATTTTTTTTTTTAAAGATTTTATTTATTTGAGAGAGAGAGAATGAGAGATAGAGAGCATGAGAGGGAAGAGGGTCAGAGGGAGAAGCAGACTCCCCGCTGAGCAGGGAGCCCGATGCGGGACTCGATCCCAGGACTCCAGGATCATGACCTGAGCCGAAGGCAGTCGCCCAACCAACTGAGCCACCCAGGCGCCCTACAGTATTTTATTTTAATCCTCACAAATTACCCTAGGAGGTACCATGAACCCAGATCAGAGATTTTAAGCCCAGGTTTTATACGCCTTCTAAAGTTAATTCACTTTTACTCTTTAAAACCAAGAATTCTATAATTAAGTAAAACATCTTAGAATTGCTAAACTCAAAATGGTGAGGGATTACCGATAAATATTATGTAACTACATTAAAACATGGTTCTTTTAAAAATATATTGTGGCATATTTAACTTGTGTGTATCTGATTTTTACATGTTCTTGTAGAAAAAGTTGTTTTATTATTTTTTAAGATTTTATTTGAGAGACTGAGTGTGCACAAGGGGACAGAGGGGCAGAGGAAGGAGGAAACAGACTCCCTGCTGAGCAGGGAGTCAGAAACTGGCTAGATCCCAGGACCCTGGGATCATGACCTGAGCCAAAGACAGACGCTTACTGACAGTCACTCAGATGCCCCAAAAGTTACTTTTTTCATCAACAAATGCAGATGTATCTATGTTGGGACTAAGTGCTAACCAGCTGCTACTCCTACACCCTAGCCCTTTGCATTACTCATCTATAAGCCATCCCATGTAAATATCTAGGCCAACTTAAAAATTCTTGTACAAAATGCAATTTGTCTTCTCACAACCCATACCCTTTGTCACTTTTTCCTTTTGATACTCATGTTTTGCCTTCCATGGGTTACAAGGCTCACTTCTTTGAGTTTCAGCCTTCCATTCTATTTTCAGTGGTAACTGTGTACTTTCTCAAACTTCCCAATAACCAAGAAGTTGTAACATTTGAGTATCTCCCAGAATAACTTCTAAAAGAATCAAAAAACAGTTTATGCCATCATGGACTCACAGTTTTTTTTCACTAGCTTCAGAATGTCTTGCAGTTAGAAGTCAGTTCTAAACTCCTGCCTTACATTCACCAGTCTAACACAGTGCTGTCCAAAAAAACTGATGCAAATATTCTGTATCTGTGTTGTCCAGTAGGTTAGCCAGTCAGCGTATGTGGCTGCTGAGCACTAAATGTAGCTAGTGTAACTGAGGAACTGCATTTCTTATTTAAATATCTGTATATGGCTAGTCCTCCCTACTGGACACTAATTTGCAAGTCAGCTCTTTTTATACCCCAACTTGGATACTCTGCCCCACTCAGTCTGCTATACGCAGGCCTAATTTATCCTCATTTACTTTTTTCAAAATCTGATTGAGACCTTTCCCAGCAGCTCATCAATTGTGATTATGAATTCACCTAACACATACATTTGAAATTGACCAGAAAAAGTAAAGAAAGTATCAGTTTTTTCCCTGGTATGTGGTTTATATACATAACCTAGTTTGTAAAGTTGGGAGGTGGAACTCCAGTCTTCTTTATATATAAATACAAAATTCCAATTTTGTGGAACTAAATTTAAGTAATAGTTTGAGGATAAACCTTAGTTCATTGACACATTTGCTATTTCCTTCATTTTGAATCACATTAAGCATGTCATTCTATTTAGATTTCTAAAAAACAAAATATTTGGGTAAAAATATCACTCTTTTCACACAGGTTTAATTTTCCTACAGCATCAACATTTTCTTCTCAAAAATAAAAGAAGAATCTCAAAGCTTAGAACTGGATCACTTGACCCTTTCTCTTCTTATCTCCTCCCAATTCAAAATGCTTGCATCTCTTAATGGCCAGCATCCTCTTGGACCTGCAGTTAGGTTCAACACATTCAAGCCTCAGCACAATCTTCTTTGTGGTTTTAGCCTTCTTCCGGAAAATTGGCTTTGTCTGCCCACCATAGCCACTCTGCTTCCGATCATAGCGTCTCTTTCCCTGGGCATAAAGGGAATCCTTGCCCTTCTTATACTGGGTCACTTTGTGAGGCTGATGCTTTCCACACTTCTTACAGAAAGTCCTTCGGGTTTTAGGAACGTTAACCATCTCTGCAGTAGCGCTGTCTGCACGATGAAAATGTAAAACATTTTAAGTTATAGTAACAGACTTCAAACATTTTTAATAAAGTGCTTTAGGAATATAAGGAAACATTACAACAATACATAAATCAGTAATGTATAAACCCCCCAAGTACTCCTTTTACGTATGAGTCAATACACCTAAAAGTGTACACCTTTTTGGAATGCTTAGAGCATTTATGGAATGAGACGAAAAATCAGCAAAAAGCAGTACAGGGGCGCCCAGCAGGCAGTTCCCCGTACAAAGTGGATTCCTTTGGAGCTTAATTTACTGTGGCTGTCCCAAGAATAAAAGCATAGTGGTGTTTATCTAATTTTCTTTCTCAGAGAGGACCAAAGCTAGAGTCTCCGACTCTTCCTCGCACCCTCTACTACCTCCATGTTCTAGCTCCTGGGTATAGCCCGGTTCAGTGCGTGATTTCACTCAGTAGCTATAGCTACGGCCCGCCTCCGTTCCTTCTCCGGGAACCGCAGCAGTCTGGTTTCACTTTTCCCCTCCGAAGCACCGGCACCCATCAGCAGCCCTGAAGGCTGACGTGTCCTTAGTGTCTCCCGGCCCACTAGCCGCCATTCGTGAGCCCCTTGCCGAGGCGAGAAGCCAGTTAACTCTGCCAAGACAGCGGGTCTCACCCTCCAGTTCCTACAAGGGCCTGGCCCATCCCCAGATTCTGAGCACTGGAGGCTCCTGCTGAGACCGCTACACTCCCGTCTTAGCTTACCTGGAAACCGCGTCCACGCTCCTCGCCTCGCTCTGCCCGCGCCTAACAGGAAAGGGAGGAAGAAGCGGAAGTAGGAACTGAGCGTGAGCGACAGTGCTACGAACCAATAGGCAGCAGGCAGCGGCGGCCTGTCGTCTCCGGACGCGCCCGGGAAGCTCCAACCAGCGGCCCAAGGGGCGGGCCGGAGGGGTGTGGGCCCAAGGGCCGCGGCGCTCCGCGGGCCAGTCGCGGGTTGTCAGAACGGTCGCTGCCGGAGTGGGGCGAGGCTACGTCGCTCGGTCTTGGCGGTCTGGGGCCCGCGTAAGGATGAGAGCGCAGAGGACGCAGGGCCGCTGGAGGCGCAGGTAACCAAGCTGGGGTGCGGTGGGGCCGCGGCGGGACTTCTTCCGGGACCCGTGCTGAATGGAAAGGACGGAGGCGACGCCGAGCCGCGGCTCCTAGCGGCGGGGCCGCTGCCCGAGCTGCAGCTGCCAGGCGAGGATGTGTGGAGCCCGGGCGGCGCGGGGGAACTGAGACCCTTCGGGCCCCTGGACCCCCGGGGTCCGGGATGAGTTAGCTGGGGCAGCCGCGGGGGCCAGTTCTGACTGCTACAGGCCAAGGCGACGGCCACCACCCGCCCGCCCCTTCTGTGCAGAAGCCGCTAGCTCCTTTTCGCGCCCGCCCGCCCGCGCTCCCTGCCCTGGAGACCATGAGGTTCCGCATCTATAAGCGGAAGGTGCTGATCCTGACGCTCGTGGTGGCCGCCTGCGGCTTCGTCCTCTGGAGCAGCAATGGGCGACAAAGGAAGAACGAGGCCCTCGCCCCGCCGCTGCTGGACGCCGAGCTCGCGCGAGGAGCGGGCGGCCGGGGCGGGGACCATTCTGCTGTGTCCGTGGGCATCCGCCGGGTCTCGAACGAGTCGGCGGCTCCTCTGGTCCCGGCGG